AGGGAAAAAATTATTATATTAGAAGCCATGCTTGTGGCTACTGCTGGCAAAAATTTGCAAAAAAAATGAATAAATCTTACGCCATCCTTTAAGCCTTTGCCGCTGAGAATATTAGCACCATAAACATAGCGGTAATCATGCATATTGAGATCGTAGCAATAACGCGGGAATTCAAAGGCTAAAAACTCACAAAAACTCTTACTCACTGATCATTTAAGGAAGGTTAGACTCACAGTCCTCACACATTTTGAAATCCGTGCAGTGAATGCTGTCATCTGATTTGAGCACTGCCCTGCATCCATATGCAAATGAGCACGAAGAAAGTAAATCGTCACCGGGTTTACTGCTGTCACTGACTGTCAAGGGAACGATCATTCTATGGAGATAAGGGGCAAGATTTGGGTTCTGAATATGTGCAAACCCTTCAAAATACTGGATGTCTTTTGCTGAATAGATTCGTTACTCTTGTTCTAAATGTTCCATCCCGCATGTGCTCCAATAAGAGATCATCAAAATTGCCGGGATTCAAGATTTTGCAATAGTCTATCACAAGGTATCCATCCTTCTCGTAGGCATTTGCATGATGAAAGGTGAAGAACGCATCCGAGGTGATCTGCAAATGCAACATCAGTATTTTGAGAACACTACCAAAGTTTCAGGGATTTATTCTATGAAATACCTTTCTTTCTATCCTCTTGCAATTTATCCTGTCAAAGATAATCACGTTTACGCCCTCTTTCTCATCCCAAAACAAACATTCCTGGAGTGACTTTTTTGCAGAATCTCTGCAAGAAGCATTTTAAAGCTGACATGTCTCGGAAAAAATATTTCTTACGTTTCTGCCATCTTCATCATATTTATCCTTTCTGGTGTCTCGAAAAGAATAAAGTAATTTTCCGTGACTCCAAAGGAATGATAGTAAGATGGCGCTAAAGCATTTGTAGCTGGGATGATACCCAAAAGTTCAGCACCCTCCAGGCTATGGTTGCTTTTAGCATCTGAAAACAAGTAATTGATACAAATTTACATTCGAGCCTGTCAAAGTCTTTTGTGGTTATTGAAAATCTGAAAATCAATCTGAAAATTGACATTTTCCCATCTTCTTTATTTTCCACCAGTAAGGCAGGAGTACTTTTCTCTACACACAGTTGACGACCCACCGACTCACTTGTGAATCTGATCCAAAAGAATATCATGTGCGTCGTATTGCTATTAGTAAGGTTTGTCAAAATCATAAATTTGTTGCAAAAGTGGTCTAGGAGGGATCTGATATGCTGATCAAGAGATCATATCCGCCACTCGTAACAGCTTTACTGTGGAGTGACTGTAGGTAGACGGTAGGTCTAGTGGGGAATGAAGCCACAGTTCTAATGAAAAATGCCCAACTGGCGATGCAATGACCAGTTGAC